CCCAGCACAAGTTTTACTTATAGGGGGTGCTGCTATTTTTGATTATTATATTATTAGATATACATTAAAGTTCCTCGCTACTTATCCAACTTCTCCAATAGAACAGTGGTCCATCCATCAAGCTGAAAAATATAAATGCCATATTATTATAAAATAACGGGGCAAATACTCAACCTTGTTGAAGAAATAGAGAAAGGTTATGAGAATAAGGTAATAACAGGTGCAGCTTTTATCGACCTCAGCGCTGCATACGATACGGTCAATCATAGGTTACTGCTTAAGAAAATATATGAGCTAACTGAAGACGCGAAATTTACAAAAATTATTGGTTTATTATTAAGGAATAGACGGTTTTTTGTATCACTGCAGAACAAAAAAAGCAGATGGAGAAGACAAAATAATGGATTACCTCAAGGAAGTGTTTTAGCACCAATCTTATTTAATATATATACTAATAATCAACCAATTGGGGACCAAACGAAGCACTTTATATACGCTGATGACCTCGCTATTACAATCCAAAGTAAAACATTTGAGGAGGTGGAAGTGAATCTGAACGCCGCGCTTAACACTATAAAGGAATACTACGAAGATAATTATCTTAAACCGAATCCAGCAAAAACGCAAATTATCGCTTTCCACTTACGAAATAGAGATGCTAAGCGGAAATTGAGAATAAATTGGCAAGGCACAGAATTAGAGCACTGAGACGAACCAAAATACTTAGGCATTAAACTTGATCGAGCCCTGACATATAGAAGTCATTGTGAAAACACAAAAAAAAAAATAGGAACAAGAAACTGTTTACTTCAGAAACTGGTTGGCTCTCAATGGGGCGCAGACCCTCATGTCCTAAGAACGACAGCCTTATCATTATGCTACTCGACGGGTGAATATGCTTGTGCTGCATGGAAAAACTCAGCACATGCCAAGAAGGTAGATGTGGCACTAAATGTAACTAATAGAATAATTACGGGGTGCTTGAGACCAACCCCAGTTCAAAAAGTACAAGTATTATGCGGGATAGCACCTCCTAACATAAGGCGGGAGGTGGCAGCAAGAGTAGAGAAAACAAAACAAGAATCAGACATAAGACACCCTTTATATGAAGGTAAATTCACGGGGAGTCGACTTAAATCGAGGAAAAACTTTTTGAAGACAACAATTAGCCTATCACAAACACCTGAAGTGACAAGAATAGACTTATGGAAGGAGGGAATGAAAGGGCATAGCGCACAGCTATGGAAGGATCCAAAGGAAAGATTACCACCCGGAAGTCATCTACCATGGTCAATATGGAAGACGCTAAATAGGTTAAGAACCGAAACTGGAAGGACAGCGAGTAATATGAAAAAATGGGGGATAAAAGAGGATGGAAAATGCGAATGTGGTAGGGAGCAGGATGTAGACCATTTGTTTGCATGCCCAAGACTACCAATTGAGTGTGGCAAGGAAGAATTTTTGACACATGAAATTTCAGACAAAGCAATACAAATTGTTGCTTACTGGGAAGGGAAGGGAATATGAAGATCGACACGACAAGAAGAAGAAGAATTATAAAATAATTAAATAGGCTTTATATATTTTCTTTAATAATATTTGTTTAATGTTGCACCGATTTTCCCAGTTTTTCACATTTGCTGAGAATACTCTTATAGGGAATCAGGAAAATCACCTCCCTAAAATACCTTAGTCAAGTTTCCTTTCAGAATTATTATAAATCAGAGCCAAATTGTTTGTAGAATAATTGTTTAGAGAAAAAAAGAAGGTCGTAATATATTTTAACTAATACCTACATTTCATATGTTTTCCCGTTTTTTTTGGTTTTTCACATTTGATGAGAAAACGTTTGAGAAAATCAAAAAATGATCTCTTTTAAGTACTTCCCCACACCAATTTCCTTGTAGAAAAATTTCTATCATAATAAATTGGAACAAAATTGCTGGTAGAAAAGTTGTTCACAAGATAATAGAAGACCGTAGTATATTTTAATACCTACATTTCTTATATTTTCCCGTTTTTCCTGTTGTCGCACAAATTTACACTAATACACTGAATGTTGGTAAAACAAAAAATCCAAAAATCACATTTGAGAGAGGGGAACGAGGTTAGCTAAATACTCGTGTACAATTTTTATAATTATATTATTATTACTTAAATTCGTTTATAAAAACAACTCAAATTCGAGTTGAACTCATTCGGTCCAGTCGTAGGCCACAAGAAGTGTTCAAAAGTAGCGGAAAAAGATAACGATATTTTTATTTTCTTGATTGGTTGATCAATCAATTTACTAAACAAAAGGTATTCATTTTTAGAATATTACGGTAAAAGAAAAAATGTTCGTATAGTACCAAATGTTATTTTATTATATATCTTTATCTGTTCTAAGGTTTTGAATATTGGCAAAACTAGTATAATTTTAATATCTGAAGGTAACAAATTGAAAATGATTTTTTTTTCACTTGAGAAACACTTATTTTTGGGTAATAAAATAGCTCAGATTTTTACGCAGTAATGTAGAATATAGGTAATACAATTTACCGAAAGTGAAATTCGCTTGTTACATTATAAGAGCGCGATCTGTAGTCGTGTGCTCAAAATACTTCGACTAAACAAAGAACCGTGTCTCAAATCGATTTTCGCTAGTGTTCGTAATACTTAACTGTCTTAGACCTGTTTCATAATTTATAACTATAACTAGTATTAAATGTATACAATACCTACATAACAAATTAAAATAATAATACAGGTAATTATTAGAAAACACTATTTTTCAATAAAACTCCGATATCGGTCAAAAACACCATTTCTCGAAAAGAAATAATGTTTTTTTTTTTTTTTGTTTAATAAAACTTTTTGCTTGAGACACATCAGATAATTTTTCAATTTAATATTTTCTTTTTCATAGGACCTAACTCTCGCCATGCTGGTCGGACGGCTGCCGGCGGCTCAGTTGCATGTGCGAAAATGGGCAAGGTTATTCTGAATAGAGTGTATTCTTATTTTGGATAAAGTATAATAGTTTACTGTTTAGTATTGGAAATTCCCCAGAGAAATCCTATAACACTATTGCTTTTAAAAGTTACAAATAACAGTACAATATATTGTAAGTTATCTGTCAAAATAAATAGTTAAAACAGGGGTTTATTAATATTGTATAAAAATACACTTCTAATATTGTGCTGATTGTTTCTGTACCTAGTGCCAAATTGTGTTGTGGCTATA